TTTCTTGGTATTGCCAATTTTTAAATATCACAACTAACATTTTGAGGTGTTGTGCAACCGGATTATGTTTATTGGTCTTTCCGTTTAATTAAGTTAATATTGTAACAATAAAGCAACGATTCAAGGCCTCAACAACACACTATTGACAAAATAATATTCATTGACCACTGTACTTCCCATTAGGGCTTCTCAGGGACAACACCCAAAACAAGCTACACTGAAATGTAATACCTGAAATATGTGGTGTTAATGCCTCTTGCTAGGAACAAGCTAATGGGTTCACTCGATCATCGTTTATCAGGCTTTACATAAAATATGCAGGAAAATTTCAAACAAAGTCAAAAAAAAAAACGATCACTAACCTGCCTGCAATTTCGTGCCACATTTGAGGCAATAATTCGGCGTGGAATACTAGCCCAGATTTTCGCCTCAGGAGCTGCAAAAGTTCGCGATTGTTAAATATGGCGGGAAAGGTAAAGGGTAGCAGCTATCAGAGAGAAGCCTGGGTGCTAGGTACCAGTTCTTTGATTTCTCTTCATTCCTACAGAGGAGGCTGATTTCTACAGAGGAGGATGATTTCTACGAAGGAGGCTGATTTCTACGGAGGACACTGATTTCAACGGATAAGGCTGATTTCTATGGAGGCGGCTGATTTCTACGAAGAAGGCTACTTTCTACGGAGGAAGCTGATTTCTACGGAAGAGGCTTATTTCTACGGAGAGGGCTGATTTCTACGGAGAAAGCCCATCTCTAAGGAGAAGGCTCATTTTTAAGGAGAAGGCTGATTTCTACGGAGAGGGCTCATTTCTTCAGAGGAGGGCAATTTCCAGGTAAAAAGCTTACACTTGCCTGGAAAATAAGAACAATTTTACAGAGGAAGCAAGTCTTTATTCAGGAAGGTGTTTGTTTTACAATGTGCAGCAGTGACACTTGTGGGCCACCGTAGTAGTGAGTTTATAGGCAAGTTCTTCAGAGTTTACATAGTAGATATCGAAGAGAGAAAAGAGTAGACTAGAAGAGGGTAGACAGTGTGCGAAAGAGTAGAGTCAGAAATCTGCGGTCGAAGAAGAATTACTCGGTGAGAATTAAAGTGTGAGAGACTTGGAGATTAACCAGAGTTACGAAGAATAAAAAAAGCTGGGGTGTAAAAAAGTAAAAAATACAGTTCGAGAGTCTTTGGGCTTTTCTCCGAGTGAGGTATGCTCGATGGGTAGTTCCATGCGACATTTCGTCGTTACAAAAAGTACAACTTTGATGATACACTTGATTTGTTGCTGGTTGATACTGTATGATACTAGTTAAATAATTTTTTAACATAATTCTTTTGAGCATTAGCTATCGTGTATTGGTCTATACTAAAACAATGGATAGCGCTGTAGTTGCGCTCTGATTGGCAACTCAAACTCCAAATAACCTTGTATTGTCGGTGGCTAGCCATTAGCCACCGACAGTGAGGTGACTAGCCGTTAGATAGGATTAACTTGGAAAGGAAGTTTGAGTTTTTAACTTAAAAGTGATTCTGTCATTTATTGACAGTAGCCAGGAGAATAGCGCAAAGTATATGTCAATGTAAATACGAACATGGTTCTTCATTATCTGAACACGCTCTAGGTCTCCCCTTAAATAAACCGCAATGCACGGGGATACAAGGGTGCACAACACTCAAACACCGGCCTAATGCAGGTAATATGGAAGCACATAATATTGTGAGTCGGAATATTTACTCGCTTCAGCATTATCAAGAAATGTGTGAACTTATTGGCCCTTTTTATTACATCAGAGACGTGACAATTTCATTTAAAGGTATTAGACATGATTACCCCTAATATTTGGTTTGGGCAACAAGTTCAAGTTCCTTGCAGTTGACGGTTACAACGTCGAACAGGTGTTGTTTCTCTTGAAGTCAATAATCAATTCTTTGCACTTCTCTGAGTTCAACTGAAGATGTTGTAAGCAGACCACTGCTCTAACGCTTTTACAGCGCTTTGGATTGCACTTCTACTACCCTTAGAATGATCAAAGCATGCTAGTATATCTATTGCACCAGACTCTAGTGCAATAGATATACTTGTGTGATCAGTGCTGAAGTTGACACTTTGTGAACCAAATTACAAGAAAAAAGAAGTCCACTGACCTACAGACTGAACAAATTCCGAGCCCAGAGGTGCATTTTTCCTACTGTCGCACTGAGATGTCTCAGTTAAAAATTCTTAAGAAACCGGTTCAAACAAAAACAAAACAAAAAAAAAACATTATCGAATCTGATAGAGGCAGAGATAACAGGGCATCTTCGTAGGTGGGAGGGAGGGACGGTACGGTATACCTTTTTTGTCCTGTGTATTTGTCAATATTGAATCGAGTCTTTTATTAGAGCCACGAATGTAATAAAACATAAAAGGTATTAGTATATACCACACAGGTGACAAGTACTTTTTGCGTGCGCTGATTGAAGTGATTAGCAAATAGTACTCACCTCCGGGCAGCCAAAGTGACAAATTTGCGCGTTAGCAATTTAATTTCTAACACTTTTTTTGATATATTGACGGGAATATATTTTTTGTTTTCCTTTATGTATTTACCAAAACAATTAAAAGTTGTGAATATTTACCTCACCGCTTTGCGGCCAGGCAAATATCCACCACTATTGACCTCCACTTCAATGAATAACTGTTAAATATCGGTCTAACGCTTGTCAGATTGAAATAGTAAAGTACGTACAATCAATTGGTATTGAGCTTTCCCTTTTAATTTCGATGTGGTTATCCCTAAGGAATTTGCAGATACCCGGTTTCACCACTTTGTCCCCTTTAAGGCACATTCTGTGATCTCCTATCAGACCACTTCCCGAAAAACCATCCTCCTCGAGGGGAGGGGGAGGGGGTAGAATTTTTCGAGCACTTACAGCATTTTACATTTTAGAAGATTTTCGATAAAATGTTGTTCTTTCTGTTTGTCAGATTAATGTTTTTTTAATAATGTGTTGGTGACTCACATCATGTCGATTATATTTCTAAAAATTCAAAACTGGCTAAAAGCACAATTGCTGCACAGATGTTAGAGAATGTGTACCCATAGTAACTTATTTAGAATGAATGGACAGGGCTGTCGTGAAAATATTTATTCTAAGATAATGATCTGGAAAAGGCGGCTTTCTGTTTATGAGTTCATTGTTATTTAAAGGCCGCTCGATCTGAATCGAAGAGAGGGATAAGCGAAAATACATTTCAGGTATTTATTTATTTAAGTTTAAAAGGTCGATACAAGAAGAAATAAGATTAAACATCACTATAATATGACAGAATAAACTGAGTAAAGGGCGGATCTTTGAATATTAAAGGACAAACGATTATTTTTATTTCCTCAATATTCAAACAAGGCAGTTATGAATTACTAAATATATATTTTTTATTTCAAGGGCTGATAAAGAAATTCATAGTTACTTAGATATGCCATCAAGTCCTGCGCTTAAGCCTTAGAAAAGGAAGGATAAGTTATTGATTCTTCGCATACCACTTTTTAATTATTATTTAGACTTTCTTCGCTGGGATAATAACAGTAACACGTTTATTATTGGCGCCTTCACAGAAGCGGAAATACAGGTAAGAATAGACGAACCATCTGCGGAATCATATCATTGGAGAAAATGTAACTGTAAAGGCAGACGGGAAGTAAATTTTAAAAGAATCCCTTTATAACCCCACCTTTCTGGTGTTAGGACATTTTTAAACTGTAGTAAATTGTTCTTTTTATCAAGTGCTCTAAAATGTGATTCGGGAAGTTCTCCTTAAAGCCTCAGTTAAGCGCAGCGGTGTCTTGAAAAAATAATGTGCTCTTTGTGATACAGCTGCACTTTGTCGTTTTCCAATACTTTGTGAGGTAAACAGCCACGGTATCTGTGATCTATAATGAGATTCCACCAACATACAAGGCACTTAACCTGCCAAAAAAATGCGTTATTTAATCAAATTCTTAACCCAAACATAACATTCAAACTTCTCCTGTGTCCAACAGCTGAAAACAAGAAAATGGCGTCCAGAATGACCCTTTGGGGCTTCAGTGTTGCTTTCTGTAAGCACTATTGTCTTTAATAAAAATATAAAATTTAGAGACTAAATGTCTTATTTCCAAAGGATTAGAAATCGCTACTTTTTGGTTTTTGGTCACACGAGAATACCGCTTATGTCACGATAATATTCAGGCTTTCATAAGATGCACTCGCCATAAGGTGAGTGACACGTGCACGGAGAAGAAATGCGGCGTAGAGCCTTTGCTAGAGGGAATTACGAAAGAAACGTTACCGATCTCTGGCAAATTTTGAGACAACACAGCATCCAAGTTGATTTCCACCTCTTTATCGAGTCCGATTTTCGCTCCTCCCCGAGAAAAGACAACTTAACACGCGAACTACAGACCACGTCTGTGACATAGTTATATAATTATAATTCAGCGCAAATGATATTATAATTATTAATGTCATTATATATTAATATTATTATTCAGCGCAAATAATCAACAAAACAAAGAATCATCGATTGTATTAGCTCAAAGTTCACTGACTAACTTGTACTGAAAAATTATCATCCCTTAAATCGTAAAAAAAAACCAGCCTCATTCATTCAGAAACAAATCCTTTTATTTGTTGTTCGGCATCAAACGCGCGCCCGTGCAATTGTGTCATTTACTTTCCATATGGAAAGATTGCGTCTGTCAAAAAGGCGTTTAATTAAAATTTTCATCTGTGAAATGCTAATTGCAAACCAAAACACGGTAGGAGAAGATCAAATGCGTATCCTGCGGAAAGCAATACCTAAATAACGATATACAAGTACTTAAGACGAGGCTGAGTTTGTTGTGTTGTTGTGTTGTTCCACTTAGCGAGCGAAAGCTTCACGCCATTTAATGTTATCTTTAAATAGCTTTGGTGAAATTGACTTCTCTCAAGATGAGGGCGAGGAGCCTTCCGCTTTATCCTCTCGTTTTCTCTTGATTGTGCAGTTGCACTTATAGCGGAAGTACGCCTTCAGAGAGTTGTTCCATCGTTCCGCTCAAGTAAACTTTTGCAAGCTCCAAAGGGACATTATGTGGAATTGAACTTCAGCTTGGAGACTTCACATGCAACACCATGCATTGATGATATGTATCTTGAGGTTCGTGATGGATACAACAAGTCTGCCAATCTTCTTGGTGTATTTTGTGGAAGGAACATTTCTGGTATTGTGCGATCCAGTGGACAGAGCTTGTGGTTGGGAAAAACACATAAATTCAATTACCATTTCAGATGTTCATACAGTAACAAAACAATCAATACAACAGGCAAGTCTTCAGTGACTCACTGAAATTAGCCACCGAAAGGCATATTAGATGTATTGTAAGTTTAAAAGTTCTAATGAAATGGCCATTACCCACGTTCCTTATACTCGACTGCTTTTGTAAATGCTATGTATTTTTTCCTCTTCCAGTCCAACCCAACCTGGATAAAGTGGCCAAAATTCAGCCCGTTCTTTTAAACAATCTCTCATCCCTCTGGTGCCTTGCACAAGGCGCACCGGCACCAGTCATTGTTTGGAGAAAGAACGGCATTGTGGTACAGAACAGTACAAGTGTCAAATATAAGCTGACCATTACTGAAGGAAACAACTACAGCTGCGAGATGAAGAGGCAGGATGGCTTTGACAAGAAAGAAATCAGTCTTGTTATGGAAAGTGAGTTTTGGTAACAATATTTGTTCCTAAGTCGATCAGGCCAAGGGGAAAACCTATCGCAAATTTACAAATTTTGAATCCCTAGCTGGTAAAATGCGCAAATCCCAAAGCTTTTACCTTTTTTCATCGCAACTGAATGGCGGACACTAAAGGTTTAGTGACCTTACAACATTTTTCTTTCTTTACCCTGGAATAGTATTAGGTTTGCACGAGCAAACCAGAAACAACGAAAAGTTCCACTGACTTTCAGCAAACAGCATGATAATGAAAACGTATCCTCTTGTTAAATTCTAGTGTGCCCTGATCCCTGCAGATATGAAACTGCGGTTGGAATCATGCGTGCAGTTACCCGCATTGAATGTAGGGGAAAACATTTACAGTCAGTTCCACGGCACTTGCCCCTCTCGACAGCGAAATTGTAAGAATGTTATCTCTTTCTTTCTTTTGTTTTTCGGTTGGTAGGGAGAAGGAGGGAGCATGCGACATACATTAAATTTGGTCTATGAAGTTCAGAGGAAAAAAGAGAAACAAAAAAAGGCTTTTAGCAACCTTTTTAATTGGCATACATTTTCAGATTAAAGGCTCCCTTTTTACGTTAACGAAAGACTCTCTGTTAACGTTGACAATGACGTTTTGAAGGCAACCTGATTGGATGACAACGATCGTAATTTTGTCAAAAGCTGCTGGTATTCTGTATATGAGTTGTTCACAACTTAAGCATAGTTAGTGAACTGAACCGAACGGTGGCAAAATGTTACCATGGAATTTGAAGTGACATGTGAATACAACATGATTATTGCAACATCAATTTGAAGACTCGAATTGTCGTTTCTTGTTCATAACATTGGACTGTTAAACGGCTCTTCTCTCGACTCTGATGATAACTGCTGCTCACGTTATAGAGAGCGAAGAAAGTTGCTTTCATATTTTCTCAAAGTAGGCGAGATTAAACTTTTTCGTGAATTCTTACCTTGTTTTTCATACACACACACTCATCGAGTCTTGGAAAATTGGGTTGTGTCTAATTTTACGATTAGAACGATTTTATTACATTCAATGTCCCCGAGGAGTGAAGTTAACACCAAGTGTCTGTAGATACTAATATTGTGGCTAAAGTTATACTTTCCCCGGGTATAAAGATAACAGAAAGTAAGAATAGACAAGACGGAAAATATTCAACCTTGCTTAATCTAGGATATATTCTCCTTCTAGGAACCTGAAATACAACCAAATAAAGGAAGTACCACCTGAAGTCTACCAAAACAACACCGAGTTGGCCGTTCTGTAAGTGACCAATGTTTATGCTTGTGTTGATATTGATGTTCGATCTGTTAAGAATTGCCGAATGTCTCATGCTCAGAGGGTGTTGTCAATCACGTAAGTAATCAGTCAATGTGAAACGTTTTTATCATTTTGCTCTCTGAGAGCAAAAACATCTTCAAACTAAGAGGCCGTCTTCATCTATAAGGAAGCATTTAAAAAATGCCCCCTTAAAATCCATGACTTATCCTTTTGCAGGATCTTAGGAGGAAACCAGATAGAGGAGCTACAAGTGGGAGTCTTCAGTAACAACAAGAAGTTGACCCACTTGTAAGAAGGCAGTTTATAAATTATGGTCAATTTTTATATCTTTACTCTCATTATCTTGATGGTTCTCGTAATTAATTCTAAAATGCTCAAATATTGTTGAACGACAACAATGAGTATTGCCGTCAGGGTCTACTACGAAGTTACGTGATGATTTAGCTTTTGAGTTATTCAAGCTACATTCTACGTTCTTTCTCCAAACTCGGTGCGAGTGAGGAACATTACTTCTAAGTTCACCATCGCGAAAACCAAAACAGATATTTATTAGCGACTGCCTAGGAAGACTCCATCAAGCTCATATCACAACTCTCCAATAGACGGTTACTATTGTTATATATTTCCTAGGATAAGATGGTCAAAAAATCCGGTGAAGAACAAGATGGAGTAAAAGATCATAAAGGTTATGTCTATCCTGGCTCATCATCGTGATGTGTCCAGAATCCAGTTATTTGCTGAATGCTTGCGAGAAGGTCTTCACTCTTCGCTCAAACAAACCTTCCCCTCCACAGGTTTCTCTCCTTTACCCTTACCAGCCAAGTAATGAGTGGTCCTGAAATGTTGTATTAAACTATTCAAAAGTCTGCGAAGAGTTTCACCGGAATAATGGGAAGTAGAATAAGCTAACTGGAGCTCTGTTTTAAAGCTTTTTGTGCTCCGAAAAGAGAGGCTCGCGCATCAGCGATTGTGATAGGAACGTCATCAAAGGACTTATTGAAATTATTCAAATGTATAGTGATGGTGGTGTCAACAACTGAGTCTTACATCTTACATTTTTCGATGCCACACAAAAACAAAATGTGTAAACTACAAATAAAATTTTAGCAAAAAGCATGGAATATTTTTTCTTAGGGACTTGGATAACAACTGGATAAATGAGCTACCACCTGGAGTCTTCAATAATAACACTGAGTTGATTGAACTGTAAGTAACAAATATCCACGCCCATTTTGGATGTTAACCTTCGATATGATAATAGTGTAATGTCAGTGTTTACTTAATATGATCAAGACAATCCTCAAGCTTAGGTGTAGTTAACCATGAAGAGGAAAATGAAAGAAGGTGATCATTCGCTAGCATATGTCGGTGGCCCTCGTTTCGTAAATCCTATTTTCTATTCCCTTCCTTACGATGTTTTATCACTTTGCACGGGCGTGGCCATCATGGAGAGGGAGGCAGTTGCAAGCGTTTCCTTTCAGAAGAACGGGCCTCACACTCTGCATTTCTTTTTACACTAGTACTGCGGTCGAACGCGAATAGGATTAATACATTTTCACGTATTGGTGATGCAAAGTTTAAAAAACTTACAGGTGGTTAAACGGCAACATGTTGAAGAATTTGCCAGGCGACTTTTTTTCCCAATTAGTCAAGCTGCAGTGGCTGTAAGTCTTCCTTATATATAAACTATTTCAAGTGTCACACGACTTACTATCAATCAGTCGCTAGTTAACGTGAGACTCATCGTCGTCTCGAGGAGATAATGAATAGACAAAACTTACGGATGGCGTGAATCAAGCTTTCACAGTAGCACAGTGGCAAATGAACGGAACAACCTCCCCTCACTAATAAATCATTTTCAGCGAATGCGAATGAGATTTATACATTTTCACGTATTGGTGATGCAAGGTTTTCAAAACTTACAGGTGGTTAGACGGCAACAAGTCGAAAAATTTGCCAGGCGACTTATTTTCCCAACTAGTCAAGCTGCAGTGGCTGTAAGTGAAAACTCGTCCTCCAATACAAATTATTTCAAGCGTCACAAGACTCCATTTCAATGTTAACAAGCGATGGATTAAAAGTACGTCTTGTGACACTTAATATAGTTTATATGTAAGGAATACTTTTCACTTACAGGCATTGCAGCTTGACTTATTGGAAAAATAAGTTGCCTGGCAAATTCTTCAAATTGTTGCCGTTTAACCAACTGACTATAAGAGTATAGTTTGAACTAAAGTCGTGGAATATCTTCTCTTAGGTTCTTGGGTAATAACCAGATAAAGGATCTACCACCTGGAGTCTTCAATAATAACACTAAATTGATGGCATTGTAAGTAACAGGACAGTACTTAATCATCGAGACGCTCCTCAAGCTCAGTGGGTGTGGACAACCATGAAGAGAATGAAAGAGGGTAGAACGGTTTGTTTGCTCAGGCAGCAACACTTTGGAGGTAATATGATTCTAACTAAAATCATGGAATATCTCCTCTTAGGGCCCTAAGTAACAACGCAATAAATACCATCTGGAGTCTTCCATTATAACACTGAGTTGAGGGGCCTGTAAGTAACAATTATCCACGCCCATTCTTAATATTAACCCCCTTAAAATTCAAAAAATTGTTAAAAAATTTTTTTTAAAAAACTAAACTACTGAGCAGCTCTCTGCGAACAGTAGTGGTAAAACTTGTTTATTCTCCGACGCGTTTCGTTTATCAGTTAGCCCCCAGATATTTTTCTCACCTCGCCGCTAAATTATTATTTAATTTTTCCAAAACGTCGCCTGTTTCTGTTCGTAGGCCGTGCCAAGCCTATATGGTCATTGGCCCCCGTTATAGCCATAGTATGGCTTTTTAATACAAGTGTTTAGCATTAACTTGCAAAACTCCCCGAAGAAGTCTATGACAGTAAGACGAAACGCGTCAAAGAATAAAGAAGTTTTACAACTAGCATAAGTGTGTGTTTATCCGGGCACAACACAAATAAACTGTTCATCCAACAGAAAAAAGAAAAAAAAAAAACTTGCGAGAGCAGCAATTTCTAATACAAAACTCGTAAAACTCCCTGAAGAGGTCTGACAGTGAGACGAAACTCGTCGAAGTACGTAATATCTTTTGCTGTTTGTTTAATAATCGATGAGTTTTAAAAGCGCCTTATGCTAAGAGCGTTGATAGATATCAAGATGTAACAAATATATCAATGTTATAGCAAAGCACTCGTTTGATCCGGGCACGACATAAACAAACGGTTAATCCAACAAAAAAAAATAAAATAAAAAACCTGCAATAGCAACAATTTCTAAAAAATGACACTTTTAACTGAAATCAGGGAATATTTTTTTCTTAGGGAATTGGGTAACAACCAGATAAAGGAGCTGCCAACTGGAGTCTTCAATAACAACACCGAGTTGATCAAACTGTGCGTAATTGATTTTTCCTGGCTCTTGTGATGATAGCCTTTAATGTGCCAAGAGTTTTATCTCATTGTCAACTAAATGTGATCAAGAAGGTCCTGAAGCAGTCAGCCGTTAAAAGGGTGAAAGAGAGTGGGACAGTTAATAGATGGACGGAGTTAAACAGAAAAGAGAAACCTATCCTCATTAAACAATCCTTTCAGTTTCATAGCTGATCATATCCTAACATCTGACGTTGGTCCACGTTTTATAAATTCAATTTTTATTCCTTTCATAACTTTGTTTTATTTGCCAGTATGAAAA